ATTTCACGTTTATGATTTCTCTTGCCTCTTGTTTAATTCCTCCTGTGTCTACAAAGGTTTTTGACCTCCCATATCTCCACTTCTGATAATCAGGTATGGCTGGGTATACCTTGCAAGACGTTGACTGCAAAATTCCCTTTCCGTGTTTGCCTGGTGTAAAATAGTTCACCCAAGGTGTAAAACAATTATGAGGAGCTTTTGAATTCCTTATCGTGCCATCTCCACACATAATGATTTGTTGATCATGATAGCCGTCACAGTGAATTGTATTAATCTTTCCACGACCATCTGTTCCATCTATGTTAACACATTTCTTTGACTTCAAAACTCGAAGTTCGCCAATTTCTATCGGATTAACACAGACCACTTGGGCAGCGGTTTCGGTAGAAATACATGTCAAGACAATAACGATTAACAAAACAATATTTGACATCGTTATTTCCCTGGTTCTGGCCGGAAAATCCTAAAATGCGAGGAAGATATTTTAATTTCATGTCCCCACCGTCAACGTGTTTGTAATTCTTAAATAGCTACTATAAAATTTTCTGTATTCTGATCTTTGAGCAAAACACAAAGAATAAACTTGTGGCCATGCAGTCTCTGTGCACAATGGTTGTAAGTAACGTACAAAAAAAATGACGAGAATTTGTGAAGGAGAACAACTAAGGGAGCGTTCATAATTTAACTAGAGGGGGGGGGGCTACGGTAATTTATATTTTTTTGTTTAAGGTTGTAAATGATTCCCCCCCCCCTTTGCAGTCCAGATAATTTGTTATGCCCCCCCCCCTAATATAACTTGCTCAACCTAGAGAAAGTTGTTTTGACCCCCCCCTGCTTCTGAGACTGAAACTAACCTTTAATTTCACAGCATTATAGTTTCTGAGTCTTTCAATATACCGGCCTGAATTAATTACTCAGCTGTAAATGGTGATGTCAATATATTTTTTAAGACAGACAATCTCGTTCCCAGAGTATGCCTGTTAGCGGGTTAGGTTGTGGCATGACTCTGGGGAAATCGAATCTAAATCGTTATTTGATTGGCTGCCGTGATCATCAATGCTGCCGACACAATTCATGCGTGTTTTTTGCGAGAATTGCGCGTGGACATACGCGAAGAGAGAATTATCAATGTTTATCAGATTGGAATGCGAAATCAAACGATATAAATCGAAGGATATGATATTAATCGTATGAAAAAGTATTGGGACGTTGGGTATATACTTACAAAATGGCATGGTATTAATATGAATGACTTTTTATCGATCTACAGTACGAGTATATTCATATAAACCATGAAAGAATTGGCTAAATGAAATCATCGCACACGTTGTCGTTTTGTTAAATTGACATATTGTTGCCAGGACTTTGGAGTGACAACTTTTGCTTGTGTTAAAAACTTGAAGCTTTAAACAATACAGTACATTATGGTCAATGGTCAACACTCAATATGTTGTAGCCTGTGGTCTTTGTGCTTTTGTAAATGGAGTTATCTATATAAATTTAAGATGCCAGGTGTTTTTGTAGCATCTGTATAAATTATAGAACAATTGATTTAAGAAGTTCCTCAGGTTGTAAAACATTTGGTTATAGATTTGCTTTGTAAGTGATTGCCACTTGACAGCATGATGGGCTATTCCATTTAATATCCGTACACCCCTGTCGAGGATACATGTTTTTCATGGTTATACCCCTGAAGAATTTCAAACTCAAAACCTTTTACCCCTGAAGAATTCCAAAATTCCAAGCTCAAAACCCTTTACCCCTGAAGAATTCCAAGCTCAAAACCTTTTACCCTTGTTCAAAGAATTCCAAAATTCCAAGCTCAAAACCTGTTATCCCTGAAGAATTCCAAGCTCAAAACCCTTTACCCCTGAAGAATTCCAAGCTCAAAACCCTTTACCCCAGAAGAATTCCAAACTCGAAACACTTTATCCCTGAAGAATTCCAAGCTCAAAACACTTTACCCCTGAAGATTTCCAAGCTCAAAACCCTTTATCCCTGAAGAATTCCAGGGATCCTCAACAGGGGGGGGGGTGTATGGATATTAAATGGAATAGCCCGATGTAAGGCTATAACTAAGCCAAACCTGAAACAATTTTTTCATCAATTTGTGTCTGGATAAAAAATAAGTAGTGAATTTAAATACAGATGTTTCCTTGTCTGTTGCTATGTGAAACAATGATGTTTATAGCAATAAGAGTCATTGTTGATCAATAACAATGCTCATTTGCTAAAAATATACAAGTATTGATTCCATTTCCAAACTATTATACTATGTGAATATATTGGCAATTAATCCAATTATATATAAATAACAACTTTAATTTCTGTATCAAGCCTTCTGGGTATTATTGTTTCCTAAGCATCATTGAGGGGGCACTTGTTCTAAATATATGCAATAAGTCTGGTTACCATTAATTAAAAAATGTCCATATTCAGAGTTACAGTTGTACTGTTTTTATTAAAATACTACAGAATAATACTTTTAAGAATTATAATTGAATGGGGACTGCATGGTTAAAAGAGGAGGGGGGCTTATTTATTTTTGTATCCAAATGAGGGGGGGGGGGTATTTATTTTTGTATCCAAATGAGGGGGGAGGTTATTGGAGAGGGGCTTGAAGAGAAGGGGGCTAAATATAGAAATTACAGTACCTCCATTCCTTCCTCTCCCTTCCCAAACATGCTGCAGGAGAGGTTGATGTATAATTTGCATGTTATGTACCTGGTAATATGGAGAAATGAGCTAGTAAATATATTCTTGCCCATAATTAGTTGCTGATTAAATGTTCAAAGATACACATTAAGCATGAAGAACAAATGGAAGATACCCACAGCCAACACATTTTCAACAAATATATATGGATTTGTTCACTTCATTTCTTACTTTCGACACAAGTAATTAGAGTAATTATAATTACAAACACAATGTACTGTCATTTAAAGAATTATATGTGATCCATGTATATATGTGAATGTAATATAATATAAAAAATAATGAGTTTATTGTTAAAATATGGGATATATAATACCGTAAACCTCTGACTATAAGCCCTGGGCTTATATTCTTTTGTAAGTGATTTTTGATGGGCTTAGGGGGGGGGCTTATATGCACAGGGGCCTTATACATAGACGATCAATTGTGTTAGTAATAAACAAGTCAGTCATAAACAGGAAAATAAACATGTATTAATAACACACTCCATTAACATAGTAAGCTATAAAGACAATGACAGTGTTTCAAATATCGTTCTCTGCTATATTAAAAGACAATGTCAATGTTAAATAACATAGTGGGATACTGGGCTTATATTCAGGGGACTTGTATTCAGGGGGGGCTTATATTTCGGGAGGGGCTTATATTTGGAATGAGGTGAGCATTATATTCAGAGGTTTACAGTATACAGTTCAAAAAAGCTTGTATTTTCTTGTCACAGACACACATTTCTGGGTACATATAGAACAGCTTATACGTCAGGTTCTCATGTCGATCCAATGGTAATTTGATATCGCTGCCATCACCATAATATAGTGTAGCACAGAATGGCCTTTTATCATACTTTGACATCATGCATGCAGAAATGCGTTGGTCATTCATGTGGAGATATTACTATCACGATAGAATTAGTTACGCCAAGTAACACGTCAGGTAGCAGCTGAAATATTTTAATATTTGCCATAATAAGCCCATAACCTGTTGGCAAAACAACCAAAACATCTTCACCATTTTACATTATGGCCGAGATACATTTGAATGTCTCGTCTTTTAACGAATATTCAAGCCCTCTTTTCGCTAGAACAACTTTCATAGTTCTTTCAGTATTTGCCATTGAATATAATTTAATAGTAGTACGATTTAAAGCACCTTTAAACGTATAAAAACCCATTTTGTATACTATATTCTGATGAGAATCTTTGTTTAAAACAATATCGATCGTGAGCGTGTGCCCGCGCGAATTTAGTAAGCGGAATAAACAAAAGCAATAAAAGCGCATGCGCCATTTATCTCATTTTGGATAAAAAAATTCGATTTCCCCAGAGTCATGCCACAACCTAACCCGCTAACAGGCATACTCTGGGAACGAGATTGTAAGACAGATTCAACTACATGTATATTCAAACTGGCTGGCATATAAAAAAGGATATAACGAAAACTCAATGCAGATAGGCAAAGGATGACATATTATTGTGTACTAATTTTTATGATTTTCCTAGTTATTTGAAGTATTGATCGAGTTATTAAATAATTCTGTTTTTTAGACCAGTATGTCAATCCTTTCTCAAAAGTCACTTTACACACATAGTTACAGGGGGCCCTTACAGCATTTGGCGTACCTATTACATTACACATTATACCCAATAGCTTTTTGGGGAGAAAATGTCTTTTTGAATTTAAAGTAGCATTGATGTATACTACAAATCAAAGCTCAGGAGATTTTTGGTGAACCCCCCCCCCCTGTAGTTTTGGAGTATTTTCATGCCCCCCTAAATTGCTCGGTTGAAGAAGAGTGCGTGCCCATAAAATAACCCCCCCCCTCTAGTTAAATTATGAACGCTCCCTAATACAAGCAGATGGTTCATTTGAATAATGTTAAGATTAGATGACTTAATAATAATTATGGTCAAAAGCCGGCGATTGTTCGTAATACAGACCGACTGTGAAACAAACTTCATTTGCATTTCCAGTGCAAGCTTATGTATGCGATTGCCCTTTCAGCACTGCAATTGACCATTTGCGTAATAGACTAAATTTTGATCTAAACAAGTCTAGACAAAAATTTCATCACAGCTTGAAAGAGCATCACAAAATTAGTAATATTCCAAAGTTTCGTTGCGAAATGTTGTAAAATGCGGAAAATATAGCCTTGCGAAGTTTGCAATTTTCAGTCATTTTAGATTACAAACGGGAAATTGACAGCCCCAAAGGGTATTGGGCTGTCAATTTCCCGTTTGTAATTTAAAATGACTGAAAATTGCAAACTTCGCAAGGCTATATTTTCCGCATTTTACAACATTTCGCAACGAAACTTTGGAATATTACTAATTTTGTGATGCTCTTTCAAGCTGTGATGAAATTTTTGTTGAGATCAGAATTTAGTCTATTACGCAAATGGTCAATTGGTCTTTCAAAACCATAAATCTTGAGACCGACTGCACAGATTTGAAGATAATTTTTCAGGAGGGATGAAAAGTGGAAGCACCGGCTTAAGACAAATAAATCACGAGCAACCAGCTGGCCAGTCCGCTAGCTTATGAGTGTTTAAATACAACAGAGAAGGTCCACATAATAACAAGATTAGCATGTACTTATCATTGATATATTGGTTTGGAAATTGCCACATTTGATTGGTCTACGCTATTCATTTGAAATACAGTGCAATCATAGATATCTTATATACACTAGATAGCGCATCTCCTTTAGTAAACTTGAAGCCAATAATATTCCAGCGGTTACCCCCATTTGAATAGATGGCGGCCATGTTGGAGTTTCCCACTCGCTAATAAACGCTTAAAAAACAACAATAACTTTTATCATTTGAATAGTTTGAAAATGTATTTGGAATAGGTTTAACTTAATGTTTAAGTTCCCTGTTTAAGAAATAGAAAACATACGAGTCTTCTCATTTCATGGGAATATGCTGAGTCTGCTATCACGGCTTCAATTTTTGAATTGCAGAATAATTAGATGCACTATCTAGTGTATATAAGATATCTATGAGTGCAATATATAGCTGTATTTAAATTGCTCATGCAAGTATAAATGATTATAGATTTGCTACTATTTTTTGGTGTCGTATACTAATAGTTGGGGGGTTAATGAAAATGACCAAAGGTGCTAGGTTTAATATTATTTTCTTCCAAAAAGAGGAAAACTAATTTCCTCTTACAATAAGATATTTTCGAAAATCACACAAAAAGCTTAGTGCGGTACTTTTGACACCGAACACACTACTATGCCTCCGCACGCCCTTCCTTCCTGTTCCAAACTGAAGAAAACTAACTTCCCCTGCAGTCTGATCTAGATCTGTTGATCGTAAAAGAAGTATGAAAACGTCCATACAGCGTTCGTGAAAAGTTGGAAGTGTATAATTATAGCATACATGCACCATTAGTATTATTTGCGCTGCATGCTGTAAAGATAAAATATTATACTTATCTATCCTGTAATAGATATAGTAATACACATCTATCCTGTTTTGTACGTTTGTAATTTATGGGTTCGCACTCACAGCGGTCTAGATTATATAGTACGCATAAATTTAATACAATTAATCAGGGCTGCTCAAAGACATTTAGGTGCCCGAAACAAAATAGCTTCTATGCATATTTCACTTATTAAGGCCCCATTTTAGCCTTTCGCCTCTGGCTTTTCTCCTAAACTAATTGTCAAATTAGTTTAGGAGACAAATAAAATTGACAAATAAAGCCCCGTTTACACTACGCTCAATTTTTGGTACGGCACGGATAAAATTGATACCCGTACCACTTTTTTGGTTTTTGGACTACCTATTTAGTCCAAAAACCAAAAAAGTGGTACGGTACCAAAAATTGAGCGTAGTGTAAACGGGGCTTAAATCACTAGCAATCGGGCCAGTCCACTATAGCTTGTAAGTGTTTATATGGCGAAATACAATAGAGAAGGTGCGTATAATAGCAGGATTAGCATCCGTACATAACAGCAATATATTGGTCTGCCTGTGGTTTCAGTCATTGTTCATTAACTTGGTTTCCTGTTATTATATCAAAGAAAGGTCGTTAATTTAGTACTAGCTATATTTATTTGATTCGAATTCTGTATGGGCTTTTTATTCCCAAAATTAATATTTCAGAGAGCCAAAAGCTCTCCTGGGCTAATTTGATTTTCAACGAAATAAACCTAGCAGCACCAATTTTATGATCAAAATCGCAAAAGAAGGTATGGAACCAGTACCATTGGAACGACGTCAAACTAAGTAACTATGTCCATTTGTCCTAACAAAGATCCTGTCACAAACAACTACTTAGCTTCGAAGAGTCTTTGAAAGATAAATAGCGGTAATACGTCATTAAACATGCTTCTAAATTGTGGAGACTATATTTCTGTGGCTTGATTTCTGAAACTATTGGGTGCGCCGTTAGGCGTCCATACAGTATGCATAGAATGTGCATGTTACTCATATATCTAAATTCTACATGAATACAGGCATGTAACGCAATGTTCATTCGTTTACCAGGGTCGTATATAGCGAGGGGTCTGGAAAGTAGACCATTCCGTGAAATATTGTATATTGCATATAATGCGTGTGCTGTTTTTCGTCTTTTGTATGCCAATCCATTGGAGAAGTCCCCCCCCCCACAACACGCTACAGACAATAGTATTTTTACTTTTTACATCAAGTATTTTTTAAGGATACTTAGTTCTTTTTACTTAAGTACGAGTTTTGCCTCCAGTACTTTTTACTCTTGTAAATTACTTCTATACTTTTATTCGAGTACAAATTCAAAGTAATTCAGGCACCACTGGTACTCATGGCAAATAAAATGTTTCTTTAAATCGAAAGAAACAAAGTGCATAACATACGTATTGAAATCATTTCGATCACTTGAAATGTTTATTTAATAAACAATAAATCAAAAACTGTATACTTTCATTCATATACACTATGTATCAATGATGCTTAGTAATACATTCACAAGAGGGACAATAAAGTTAACTTGATTAAGTTTAAGTACTTGTACTTTTAGTATGTACTTCAGATGGAAAAGTGAGTTAGTGAATACGACATACAGTACCTATACCATGCACGATATATATTTTCCTGTACTCACAGCCGAAAAATTTTCACCCATGCATATATATATATATCCATGTTCGCTTGGTAATCATGCGAAATACCTCTCCTCTCACGAGGCATAATATTATTGTATTAGAC